GCTTGAACTGAAAATGAGACTTTAAAACCACTGACTTTTCTTCCTTTATGCCCACTGCTGACAGCAATGAATAAATGAATACAAACCTCTAACAATCCTTGAATGAGGACTCAAGCAGCATTCTGTATTGCCATATTTCCACAATCACTACCCTGGCAGAAATTGGCACTGCTTCTGTAAAAAGAGGTCATTCTTTCCTCCCAACACTGTGTCTCATACAATCACAATGGTTTTCACCCTAAAAGGTGAAACCATTCCTGGGCCCTTGTGGAGATGAACACAAACACCTCCAGTATCACAGAGCCAGAAGCAAAAAGGGAAGAGTATGACAAGTTCAACAGCAACACATCTTTAAAGTGATTGGAAGATGTTAGTTACACAGTGTTAGTTCCCTGCCTCCTGCAATATTTATAGGTGCTGTCTTACATTTCTATAACCAAAGGAGGGAAATGTCATCCAAGGTGTCTGTCCAGTAGCAAAATGCCTCAAGACTGCAGTCTCCAAGGGGGATACTGAGGACACTGATTCCCTCTGACAAGCCGTAACTGGACAGTGGGACTTATTTGCTCAGTGTGGGAAAAAAGTTCAAATATTTCAATTTTGTCCTCCCCATAAAATGCCCAACTCATCTCACTTAGGTCTTTTATCTTTGGCAGAGAAGTCATCCTTTTTATCTTCCTAGTCAAACTTCTCTCTGCAAGGGGAAGGGACATAGAATCTTGCTGATCCAGCTCTGAGGCCCAAGATGTTTCAGGGCTCATATTTTCAACACATTCTCTATCTTTTGTGTGTACATTTATCACATCTCCAAGGCAGTGACACTGACAGAGAAACTGATCCAATCTAATCCAAGTCTGGAAATAATTATTGAATTTAAAAGGGAAAAAACCCCAACGCTGAAAGGGCACACAGATTTAAAAAAGAATTGCAAACATTTCTGATTCAGACAAACAAATCCTGATGGTAAAGAAAGAATCAACGACTGTTTCTCATGCTGGCAATATATATTTATTGTAATTTTGGAGACAGGTTACCATGTGTGTATCAGGACTTCAGATTAAAACAAACTGGGATTATGAATGCTTAGCATATGCCAGTTGAAATGAAATGACTGATGTGAAGCTGACCCTTACAAGACCTTTGATGGTCTATTTTTGCATGTCTCCCCCACACACTTAAAAAAAAAAAATCTGAACATCTTTCCCTTCCCTTTCATTTCAGCCTCAGAAAAATAAATGATCATCCAACTGGACTTTTTACTAGCTTTACTAATAATCTGCTAGCAATATCAAAGCATTCATATTGTTCATTCTACAACTTCAAAAGGAAGTGAACCTTTACAATGTTCTTCCTCTACATTACCTGGTTATTGAGTCCAGCTTTAAAGACTGTCTTTTATTAGTTTTATTATGCTGCAAACCTTCAGCACACACACTTTGCTGTTCCACAACAAGCTGCAACAGTGCCAGGTCTGACAGACTGTGCAAAAGCTGCTGCAGTGCTACCAATTATTGAACACCCTGCCTCTCCATCTCCCATGTACTAACAAACATCTTCCACTAATAACAAGTTGCAAATGCTGTCCCCAAAAAGGGAAGAGAAGGATGAAGATATTTTGTGCTTTCATACAAAAAACAACCAACCACCCAGGAAAAAAAAAAATCCTTCAACTCCAATCCCTCACCCAAAAAAACCCAGGTCAAAATTACTGGTTGCCCATTGTCCCCACCCTCCCCCTAGCTTTTATAAGTCACCATTAAACAAATGCATACAACTTACTGTACAAATACAAAGCTGCAGGCATTCAATTTACAGAACATTCTGAAAATATTTCAAGCATAAAAAGTACACTTGATAATTGCAAAAATAAAGTTTCACTTTTTAAAAAAACATTTTGATCAGAGCTCAAGCAAAACATTTAAGGATTCCTAATTCAGCTTACCTCCCTAAGAACACCATCTTCAGAAATTAAAAACAAGAACCTCAGATTTTTGGTGATAAAGTAACTGACCATGTCTTTTAATGATGAGAAATGGTATATACAACAATGGCACAGACCTTAAGCATCAACAACATATTTCAGCCAAAAGTAAGTCAGCAAGTGATCTGAGTCATTCTTAGCATCTCACAGTACTCATTACTAAGAACCTCAATGCACCAAGAAGAGATATCAAGATAGACTGGTATAAATGGAAGGAAAAAATCCATGACATCAAATAGGCTCAGTTTTTGTCACTGAACTTTTTTTAGGCTAAGTTTCACTAGTGCAAGACCATTTGTTTACCCAATTAAATGAAAGCTCATAAATGTCACAATTTAAGAACACTCATACAAAACTATTTTTTTCTTTTAAAAAAGTGCCACATACCATACTTTTACTAAAAAAGTTACAAACTAATGGAAGACTGTCTGTCTCCATCTCTTGTCAACAAGGAAAGGCCAAAGTGACTCTCTGATCCCGGCTCGAAATGGTGTTCTCTGACCTATCCCCAGCATCTCCAACTTGGAGCAGTCCAGCTGAGCATTCTTTGGACGAAGAGCACCCACAACTGGACTATCAGTAATCTAAAAACAAACAGGAGACAAAAACAACACCCACACCAATAAGTAAACAGAAGTGACAGAAAAATTCTTGTACATGTACATTAGAACTTTTTATTCACAGCTTTCTATACAGGTATGGTTGCCTCCTCTCTTCTATTATTTGGGGTTTTTTTATGGTTTAGATTTTTTTGTTATTTGCTTTTTTTACAGTTAACTTTATTTCAACTCATTATGCCATGTGAACTGTCTTAAGGCAAATTTTTCTCACTCTCTTTACTGCTACTATTTGTGTTTTCAACATTTTTTTCATATTTTCACTCTGTGATTATCTCACAAGGTAACGAATGCTCCAGAATGTAAACAGAACTATGTTTTGATCAATATGAAGACAACCATGTCTTGAAGAGAAATAGAGTTGGGCAGAAAAAATTAAGACTAAGTGTTCTTCAGTGTTTTTCTTCCAAGTCACGTTTCAGTTCCAGTGTTGACCAATTCTGAATCCTCAGAATTTATTTTGTACATAGGTAAAATCTTCTTAACACATTATATGCCCATCACATTACCAGTCTGTCTTTAAGAGTAGTCTCAAGTATCAATAAAACTGCAGGACAGGTGTTTTAAGCAAAGCAAAAAGAATTTGCAGTTCTTAAGTGCATGTACTCAGAAATAAATCTGGACATTGCATTACAAAGCCCTATCTTCAAGTTTATGTTCTATCAATCTAACATGAAAGTACAGATTTGCTTGTGACTAAGGGGAACTGTTCTGCAGAAATACCATTACACTACAGACTGGGAAACTGGTGTCTGACTGACTGTGTAATTTTCCTAATTCAGCAGGTCAAAGCAGCTGGTTTTTTTTCCTGAGCTTGATACCAGCCAGCCCCACTCGGCAACAGAGCTACTGTGCTGGACATGCAGAGCCTGTCCTGAAGAGGAAGCTCACTTGTACAGCCACTGGGAAACCTGCTACTTGCAATGATCAGGCACATCTGTCTGCCTACAGGTCCAACAACACATCACTTACTGGTCTCAAGTGGCTGCTGGGAAGGTTGAAAGCATCTGCAATTGCACAGGCCATCTCATATTTAGTCATCTGCTCATTGCCAGACCAGTGAAAGGTTCCTTTTATTGATGGGTCCTAGAGAAGAAAGAGGAAACACAGATGAAAGGAAGCATTCAGCTGGCCCTCAGGCTAATTCCTGTGCAAGAACTGGGCAGAATTAGCATCCAGCAAGACCCTATCTCAAAAGGCATCTTCCAGCACCTCAGTGATGTTCTAGAAAAATCTGTACCCTTTCAGAGAACACCTGATCAGGAACTGAGACTGGAAACTGGTGTTACTTCCATCTGATCTGACCTCACAGGCAGTTTGTGGAGAAGGAAAAGGAGCTGCCCACCAACCAAGCAAATTCAAAGAGCTGGGGAGGAGGAACTCAGCTGTTCTGCGATGTTCACTTACTCAAAAACAAAGTCAAAAGGCATCTCACACATTCTGAATGTTAAACTGCAAACCCTGCACTAGTCCAGTCCGTGTTTGGAACACTACCATGTGAAAACCATGGCTGTTTGTTGTTTGGTTCTGTTACCTTGCAAAGATGGTAATCGAAGGTGCTGTGGTGGACAAATACAAGGAAGTACTTCAGCCCAGAGGCATTGTTTGGCCACTTCAGTGTTGTTAATACAATGAACAGTGGCACCTTTGAGAACTACATTCAACCACTAGGATTTTTTACTTCAAACTAGCAATATGTAAAAGGCATACCAGAGTAAGTTCAGCATTTCTAATTCTCTATACCAGGAGACACGAGAACTTCCAGAAGGTTCTGTCTGATCCCTTCAACCACTTTTGTTTCAAAGACCACAATACCCTCACAGTCATGCACAGATCCTGTAGTATTACAGCCAGTTCTTTCCTCCTTCCCAGCATTCCAAAAATGCAAATAACCCAGAGGTTGTGCACTTCTCAGTTGTTCAGAAGCAAAGCTGAGAACTCCAACTATTTTCCCTTTGCAGAGGCTCACTTCTTGCCATTCTTACCAGCATTCTCTTCTCTGCTAGTTGTCTGCAAACAGCTGCTACATCCTTGACATTGGTAGGAAATCTCTGCTGCCAGTGGTCCATGTTGGCAGATTTATTACTGAACTGCACTTTATCAAACATAACTGTCACAGCACTTTCCTCCAGTCTTTCCACCTCTCCATACAAGACAGGAATCCTAAGCACTGCAGTTTCTAAAAGAGATAATATATTAGGTCATGGGTGAGTACTGATGTTACAGCACAATCTGAAAAGTGGAAGTGTTAAGAAATATGCTGATCATATTAAACATCTACAAATCACAAATAAAATGCAAGCAGTATGTTAGCTTATGGAATATAATTTTAATTTATATCAAAACCAGTTTATAAACACAAAGGTTATAGACATTATTGTATTATTATTCTTTTTTTTTCATTTATGCCATTGATTTCCAGAAAGTTAACAAGCTTTCATTAATTGCATAAAGATGCCTGTTTGTGTTAGAACAAAAATTAAAAAATTAAAAACCCCGACTACTCTGTGCAGTTACTCTAGCCCTCCCCATCCTCATTGGGTAAGAGCAAGGTGAAAAATTCCCACCAATTACAGGTCATCATATTCAGACATAAATTGCACCCATCATGCAGAAGCCTCCTGTAAAAAGGAGTATATTATTTTCCAGAAAAAAAAAAAGACATGAACCTTGAAATAAATTAAACTTGACAAATAAGGAATAGGTTCACAGAACACAATAGTAAACAATGTTAGATTCCAGGACAGTGATTTGAGAAATTAACAAAATGCAAAGAGAAGCATATTTTATGATGGAATACATCATACTAGTCTATCTCTCTCATGAAGACTCAAAAAGCCACTGAGGAGAAATCCAAGGCTATGACAAATTACTTAAAAGTAACAGTTTTGCTGAAAGAGAAAACAAAAAAATCGGACCTGAAATTAGAAGCTGAAGTCATCAAAAAATTGCCATTCTTAATATACTTGGAAGAAAATGCTATAGCTACTAGAGAGACAAACAGAAAAAGCTAACACAAATAATTCTCACAGAAAAGCAAACTAGAATAAGTACTTAGTCAAGAAAAACAAATAGGTACCGAACATGACACTGATTTCCTGCTGATCTAGATGCAATTATTTGGTCACTCAGCAGACATGCTTTTCCTCTCTTTAAATACTAGTTGAAGCATCCATGTTAAAACTGCTTTAAAAATGTTAATTCTTTGAGAAGACAGTTGCCTTCCTTTCATTCTCAGCTCTCTGGAACGTGGAGAGGATCAGCCTCATGACTAACAGCTCTGAGGACCTCCTGACACTTTGTAGTTCTGTAAGCATGACTTAAAACATCATATATAAGCATGTATTCCCTTCTAAGTAAAGTAAAGTATTTTTTTAAAATAAATTGTTAAAACCACTTACTGGAGATTTTTGCATTTTACAACAGAAATGGACAGGGCAGTTCTTCACACAGCTATAGATTTGACCAGTGGAAGTCTATCTACACCATATCAGCAAATCAGAGGTTGGAACACCAGTACATGGAAAACACTTGTATTTGTATGAATCAAGAGAATTCATATTTTCAAATTCTTCACTCGGCACCACCTCAACAATCCTCCTGCTAATAATACCACTGCTGCAACCCACTGCTGCCTGACAGATCCTGCTCCAAAAGGTTACAAAACCAAACTGCAGTGCTGAGCTGGGGGAAGGGTCTAGCAAGATACCCACATGTCCATGGATTTGGTAAAGTCTTATCTTCATTGCCAGTCTAGAATAGGGAGCAAACAGCATCACAGTCAAATCTGGAGATGGTATTTAATCTAGATGTGGAGTGAAAAACTTCTCATTTAAATTTATTTTTACTTAAATGATTTTTTTTTACTAAGTTCCTTCTTACTAGTAATGCCAAATCCATCATATACTGCATATATTTCCTTACTGGAAGACCATCACACTAATTTATCAATAGCTTGGTTCTCTGGTGGGAAGCACAGAACCACAGTGTATCAGAAGCCTCTTCTGCATTTGCACTGAGATTACTTTCTTCAGATTTTTTGATAAAGTACAAGTGCTTCTTTCCTTATAATCTGTAACTGGACACTGACAGTGCACTACCCAGAAACAGCCAAATCTCTCTTTTTTACAGGAAATAAAGCTTCAATTAAAGATAACATGCTCTTTTCCCTGAAGTATAATTTTAGAAATTATGTTTGTATATTTTGTGTGCCAAATTTTCATTAAGAAAAGATGTAAGCAAATTTTTAAAAAATCTCATTGTTTAAAACCGTAAGTATGTTATTAACCTGTTAGAAAGTGTTACAGGCAGGAATCTGATGTGTGCAGGTGAGTAAAACCAAAATGGGTGGCCTGTTGGTATACATAATACAGCAAAACCCAAAGAGTAACAAGACTCCAGGTTGATTTGAGCTGTATTATTACTGAATCACAGGTCTGGTTTTCCTTTTAAGTAAACATACATTGACAACACTTGCAATGCATCCCCATAAATTACTGCAGCTATATATTGAATGAAGTATATTGTTTTTCCTTAGGAACAACAGATTCACAATAGACAAAGGCTTATGAATGTCCATCAGGGAGAGACAAATAACATGAATGAAGACTGGAACAGGAGAGAAATAAAAGCTTTAGTCAAGATATAAGCAAGAGGAATTGCTCATGAGCAAGGAGACCAACTCCTAATCACATTCTTCTCTGAAACTTGCTTCCATGGTTTTGCAATTTCATTGTTGACTTAGGAGTCTACTAAGCTAACATATAACTAAGTAAAAATAGAAAAAATAGAAAGTCTGTATTAAAAATACAGTTTTTTTGATTGAGTGTCTTTACCTTCATTGAGTGTCTTACCTTCATTGTTTTCCAGAACTGCCTTTTCACCCTCCAGTTTGGTTTTACCATATAAATTCAGGGGATTTGGTACATCAGTCTCTTTATATGGAGGGCTTGTTCCATCAAATACATAGTCTGTACTAATGTAGATCAGAAATGCTCCAACTCCAGCTAGGAAGAAAATGTTTATAGATAATATAAATTAATTCATACCTTCTTTGAAATCCCAATAGACCCTTAAATCTCCAAAGGATTCATCTTCCATGCACATTCATTCCTTCTGCTTTGTGTGTTCCCTGATCCTACACAGAGTGAAATACTCTTATGGAAAACAGATCAGCAGCACACTGATGCAGAAGTGATATTAACACTTGCACTATGTGTACTGATGTCCCTGTATAAATAGATGCAGGATTTTGACCAGACACAAATCCATGAGATGAGGTCTCCTTACCTGCCTCCTTTGCTAAGTTTGCTGAAGCAGCCACATTGAGCTGAGAAGCAGCATCTGGTTGACCTTCTACAACATCTGGCCTTCTCTCAGCAGCACAGTGCACTATAACATGAGGCTGGAAATTAAAGACTAATTTTAAACAACCAACATGTCAAGAGATGGCAGTTGCACCCTAACTCTAGCGATGACACCCCTCAGGCAAAAAACACCATTGTTATTTTTAATTCTGGCATTCTGAGGAACACCTTTTCCTTACTAACATTTTATAATAAAATCATGCTGTTTCAAGATACGAAAAACATTTATCATTAATTGTGTAATTATGGTCTTCAGTAGCTTCACTCTTACAGCAACTTTGAAGTTGTGGGGATTTTTTTCTTTTTAACTCTGTACAGTAAAATATATATTAATATAAGATAGATCTCTCACACACACAAGGGTACTGAAAATTTTTACTAAGCTATTTACGCATGGCTTACTTTACATTTGCAGATTACTAAGATGATATTTACTATTCTGTAGAATGGCACTCTGGATAGTGTATTTCAGGTTTTATATATTCCTCTTGGCACTCAGACTGAAAAAACAGTGAACACTGCACACTACACAGAGTCACTGCTGTTGTGTTTAAATATTCCTCCACTTCCCCAGAAGTGCCTATTGACACATTACTGAGTGAATAACTCAGAAGTATCCTTTCCTTTGCAGCGTTCTGGCATGCACAGCTGTGCCTGCAGCCTGCCTGTGGCCAGCACAGCAAAGCCCAGAGCTGTGTGTACCTACAGAGCAAAGCTCTGCTCTGGGTGGGGCAGAACACACACCTCTGTCAGAGCTCTGCCAAAGCACCAGCCCCGCTCCCGCCCCAGAACTCAGCAGCACCAACAGCTGACTACAGCACTCATAATGTACCCCTCCCATCCTCTTTATACTCCAGAAACATACCTGAAAATCATGGATAATGTCATGAACTGCAATGCAGTCCAGAAGATTAACATGTTCAAATCTGGGCTGAGCTCTCCTGTATCCACAACCAACTGTGTTCCAGTTATTTTCATTGAATTCTTTAAACACAGCTCTGCCAAGAAGTCCCGTAGCACCAGTGATCAAAACTCTCCTACTGGGAATATCAACATCTTCCTAGGGAAATGACAACAGGAAGAGTTTTGTTTCTACTGGAATTTTTTATTGTTTTTTTTTCTTGAAAAGTATGCAAAATTACAGTCAGAGGCTACTGTATTAAAAAAGGCTTCTCCTGAGTCTTTTGGAGCTCCTCATTCAACACCAACACCTGTGAGGACAGCACTGCAGCCAGCCAACTATTTACCCGTATATTCAAAGGTAATGAAAACAAAACTTTAGTGAGAAACTCATTTACTTCTACAACAATCCAAACCACTAGTGGAGATAGAATTTTAAATTCATTCAAAAGCTGGTAACTTTGTGCAATCTGAAAGGAGGGAACTAACTTCTTTAGGAAATGGACCCAAAAGATGTAACATATAGGGCCCAAATCCTACAGCAAATAATTCTGGATAGACTGTGCCTGTTAGAAGCTGCAGCGATACAATTTAACTTACCGTAGTAATTATTATCTTGAATTTTATTATTAAATAGAAGGGTAATTCATTGTTATTCAACACAATAGTCTAATAATAAGCAAAACTGAAATACAGATCTCTTGTCAATTTTACAAAATGCATCTAGAAGCAATTTGACAATTTAGCTCTCAATCTACACAACAGACTAAAGCTGTACTTCAGCTCCTGCACATTTTGGTACTTGGGACAGCTGTGAACATCAGCACACATGAACTTCATTTTCTAGCAAGGGATGGGATGAAGTTTTCAAGACAGCAAACACAAGATCTGTATCTGTCTCTGCAATCTTTACTTTCCTTTAATGCTTTCCTTCTGTTTCCACCATGACTAAACCCAAAAACTGCCTGCTAAAAACAAAAATGAAAGCATATCTTTACCATGCCTGTGCAGAAAAAACTTTGGGTGTGTAGAACCCACAAATCTTTGATTTCCTGACCACTTTACACACAAGGACAATCTGTGACAAATTACTATAATTCTGTACATCACAGAATGCTTTCTGCTATGCAATCTCAATACCCCAGTAATTTCTAAGCATTGTACTAGACTGCTGTTTTTTGATTGCAGCACAGGAAGCCACAGCAATCACTCCCAAATTACTGTCTTTCACCCTTGCAGTTACAAAGCTTTCGTTCCATATGGGTAATGATGAAAACAGCCTACCCAAAACAATTGTTCCAAGTTCCCAGCACAGTGCATGAATTTTTCTCAACTCTCAATCACCAGATGAAGGCCGATTTATTCCCATTAATACTAGATGAAAATTAGTAATTTACATCTGGACAGTTGCCTGAAAATGACAGACTAGAACAAGTGACATTTCAAAAAGCAACTTTTATCCTTAAATTTTACCTGACAAGACAAGCTGGTTTACTATTTTTAAGGCAACCCAGGCTTCTCAGAACTCTATACTACTGCAGCAGCATTTCTATGGTCCTCTAACACTACTGAAACATGCAATTTTGAGCCATCTCATTTAATGTTATATGGTGACCACGTTAACCACGATCAACAAAAAACTATTGTGTTTAGAAGTCTCAATTCACGTAAACAAGTCACAATATTACTCGATTTAAAAATAGCATTTATGAGACACCAGATCACTTTGCAGACACTACCAAAACATAAAATAACAGCATAATTTATAACAAGAACAAAACATGATGCACTTCAAGTTGAAAACCAAAAACAGGCACTTTTAAAGTTTTTCATAAAGTTTTTCAAGCTTTATATTTTTATTTAGAAAATCATAATGAACTGAAAACGCCAATTTTAAGGAATAACTACCAAAACCCGGAAGCAAATCTTTTACTAGTGTAAAAAGATTGTAAAAGATCCGATGAGATACGAGTCACTACAGGGAAGGAAAGGCGAGACTGAGCTCTCTCAGCTCCGACATGCCCTGCAGCCACAGAAAGCGAAAGGCAAAGCCTGGAGCTCTCCTAAGGCTCGGAATGACAGGTGAACCTACATTCGTGTTGCCAGAAGTTGTTCTGCCCCTCCCTGCACGCCCAGTCCTCCTTGCTGCGGCAGCTCCCGTACACCTGCGGGTCAGCACGGACCCGCCCGGGACAGCGGAGGGGTCGGTCCGCGGAGCCGCCGCACACGGCCTCGAACACCGAGCCCTGCCTGAGCCTCGGCCCGCCCTGAGCGGCGCCGCGACCCCCGAGCGCGGCGGGCTGCCAGCACAGCGTCCCGGGGCCGTTCCGTGCGGATACAACACGCCCCGGCTCCCGGAGACCCCAGGCACCCGCGGCCCCTCCGGGCGCTCTCCCGGCGGCCGCGGCCCCCCGCCCCCGGCCCCGCCGCCAACGCGTCAGCGCTCCGGGCCTGCCCGCCCGGCCCCGCTCCGCACAGCGGCCCCGCGGCGGGCTGCCGGCCCCTCCGCCCTCACCTCCACGAGCTCGCAGCGTCCCGGCACGAAGCGGATCCTGAGCTCCTTCTCCCGGCCCACCATGGCGGGGCCGGGCCGGGCCTGGCGCGCTGCGCGCCCGCGGCTCCCGGCGCTGCGCGAGGGAGGCGCCGCGCCCTGCCCAGCGCCGCGCCACAGGGGGCGCCCGCGCCCCACGCACGCGCCTCCGCCGCCGCGCGCTCATTGGCGGGGCGCGCCGGAGGGGGCGGGGCCAGGACGGGCATTTAAAGGGGCAGGAGCGCCCCCGCCGGGCAGGCAGGGCGGGAGGACCCGCCGGGCCGTGAGGGGACGTGAGGGACCATGAGGGCCGCGAGGGACCGGGGTGCCGTGAGGGGCCGTGGCCAGCCCCAACCCGCGGTACAGAGCCACAGCCACCCCGAACACTCCTGGCCTCGGGGGAGAAGGGGAGCAGAGGGGCCCGGTGCTCCCGGCACACCGCCTTACCTGCAGGACCGGCTCCTCTTCTCGTCTTCATGGTGCTTTAAACAGTAACAAAAGTCACTGCGGTGCGCTTTAACATCTGACCACGCTTCCCCCATTGAAACTGTCAACTTTCTATTTCATTTGTAAACAAATAAAGTGGAACTTCAGAATTAGACCAAAACATCTTCTGATCCTGCAAAAAGTTCTGTCACATAGTCACTAAAAATTACTTAATACCGTGTTTTAGAGTGGAGAAAAAGAAGCATTTCCAAATTGCTTTTATCCAGAGTTTGATGTAAAAGCAACTCGTAAATCCCAGATTAGGAGGGGTCGTTTTTGAGAGCAATCACTGCTTACAGTACTGCTCCTGTATGTATCATTACATGCTTACAAGGTGACAGATTTGATTTCTTTTTCAACTCAAAGTTTTGAAGGTAACAGGATACTGTATACAAAGTGCTACTGTACCATTTCTGACCCACAAAGGCAGAGACTCTGCCTAGCGAGAGAAATCCTAGTACACCTGATGTCCCACCATCTCCTCCCAACACTGCTTGGAAGAGATCCCTGTGCATTTTAACAAAAAGCATGATGGAGAAATTAAAACTCTGTCTTCCAGGCTCAG